CTGGGGTACAGACAAAAGCCCCCCCGACAAAAGCCACCCAGACAAAAGCCCCCCAGACGAAAGCCACCCAGACAAAAGCCCCCTACTTTGATCGGGGTGGCTTTTGTCTGACAACAGTAAGGCAAACTATTTAATATATATATATATATATATATATATATATATATATATATATATATATATATATATATATATATATATATATATATATATATATATATAAAGAGTGAGTCATGTGCAATATGTATTTTTAGAGGTGGGGGCCTCAAGGGAGGCTCGGCACACACTCTAGCTACGCCACTGCACCTAAATCATAATTTCACTTTGCCCCCGCCCTCTCACTCATTCTACTATGACTGTCATTCATGATAGTACAATATTGTACAATACTGTACATTAGGGTTGCTCATTTTTTCACACTTTTTTAAAATTGTGGGTGGGGTTTTTTTTTCCCATTATTTTGTTACTCCTGAATTCATTGGTGCCAGAATTAATGAAAACCACCATGTTATAGGGGTCGCGAATCCAAATATAAAAAATGAATTTTTGCGAAAAAACGTCAAAACTCAAGCTTTTTCTCTTATAGATCAGCAATCGCGCTGCTTTTCACTACTTAACCCTAATGGCTGGCTAGAGCAGCTATTCAGCTTTCCATTGACACCTAATTCGATTGCATGCACCTCTTATTTGACCTTCTAAGTCAGGTCAAAGGCTGTAGCCTACCTGCGTTAACGGAGTTATAAATTCACTAGGTTCACATTGGCAGCTTTAAAACCCTGCGCTTCTTTGCAGTGTTTTGACATGTGTTGTGTTGTTGTTGGTACTGTGGTGTTATTTTATAATTTACTCAAATCTGCTATATAGTGTGGCAGTAAATTTATGGTTATCTATTTATGTTGTATTTTCTACAGGTGATTAAATTGCTCTTATGTGACCCTATTTTGTTTGCCTATTTTGTTTTATTACAAAACGTTTTTTTCTTACAGAGTTCATCTGTTTATATACATACAATCATGGAAGAGAGTGAGTCGCAGTCGGGGGAGAATGCTAAGGGGACTGTCAGGCCAACATCATCCACTACCCGTTCTGCCACTGAAATCTATCTAGTAGGCCAGCCAGCATCGTCAATTAGAGGCAGTAAACTCCCGACGATGCGTCAAGTCCTGAAGTTCTTCTTTCACACAGTGAATGAATCTGGTGACAGACAGGAGACGTTTAAAGAAACAGTGAGAAACGTACTCACGTTCTGGAATTTAGCTCGCATCAAGACTATCTCAGAGAGGGGGTGCCGGGAGAAGCTGACAAGGTTATGGGAGCACTGGAGAAGTCTACAAAAAAGTCGGGACAGGGCTGCAAAGGACAAGGTTGAAAACTTCAAGTCTCAACTTGACCTGTTGTGGGACATCGGAGCACCGGACGCCGTAGAGGACATCGAGAAGAACCGGCTGCTTACACCGGCCGACAAACAACAAGACATCGCCTTCTATCAAGACCAACGATGAGAAAGAAAAGCGTTCATGAGTGGTAACGATAAGATTTTTGCCGCTAAGAAGAAAAAGCAGGAGGAACGAGTCGAGAAGCAAAGGTCGAAACAGGGAAGGTTCGCAGCCTGTGAACCAAGCAGCAGTGATTCGAGACCTCAAACCTCTGTGGTGGCTGACACCCCAACGGAAGTAGAAATGGAGAAAAAGGACACAGCGATACAACCTGGCAGGTACACATCAAAGCACCCTTATGTGACGGTTCAGCTTCCACGTCGCATTCTCCAAGAGCCAGCATTAAAGGAACTCGCTGACCGTCTTCGGATATCCAATAACGAAGTAAGTGTATCCATAAATGTGTTTGGAATGTTTGAAATTTCTGTTAATTATTTGATAAGCACTTAAACAGTCGACATTTTCTACTGACACCCTTGCCTGCTTTTGCTTGCAGATATTTTCGGTGGTCGCAGCAGTGCTGCGCTCTGCTAACCCGCCAGGCGATCTGTCTGAGTTCCGGATCTCGAGAGAGACTGCGAGACAGGCGCGAGCTTCACACCGTCGTCAGGTAGCTGCCGCACAAAGGGAAGCCTTCACGCCTCCACCACATGCAGTGGTGCACTGGGATGGTAAGCTGGTTAAGGTGAGAACACGATTAGGTACTACATTAATATTTTACCAAAGCCTAGACTATTGTAATATATTGTTAGAAATGTATCAAATCATTAACAAAAAGCTTGGAGAAAAAGGCAGCCTTGATAATTCTTCATTATCTGTCTGAATTTTTATATTTCTCTTATTTCAGAACGTCGTGGGAGAAGAAGAACACCGACAGGCCATCTTCATCTCAGGGCGCGGCCATGAGGAAGGGAAGCTGCTTGCTGTCTTGCCAGTGAAGGACGGCACTGGCCTGACCCAGGCACGCGCAACAGCTCGTGCTATCGAGGACTGGAGCTGCGCTTCAAACGTCAAGGCACTGTGCTTTGATACAACGTCGTCCAACACAGGGCGAGTCCAAGGTGCGGTTGTCCATCTGGAGGCGCTGCTGGAAAAACAGCTGTTGAGGCTTGGGTGCAGACACCACGTCATGGAACTGGTGGTGAGAGCCGCTGCCAGCAACATCTTCGGCAAAACATCGGCCCCTACGGACCCTCTCTTCCAGACTCTTAAGAAAAGGTGGAGTCAACTAGATCACTCTCAGTATCTCAGGCTGGACATTGCAAATCTACCAGAGTCTGACTGGCTCAGTCACCTCCGACACAGGACCGTTAGCTACCTGCTGACCGTCACAGAATGGGCCAGAGAGGATTACCGAGAAGCGGCAGAACTAACGCTCCTCGTCCTCGGTGTGAATCCTCTGCGCGGCACGCACTTTCTGCATCCTGGCGCATGTCACCACGCTCGCTGGATGGCGAAGATCATATACTACCTCAAGATCTACATGTTTAGCCACCAGCTAGAACTCGGCAGTGACCTGTGCGTCAAGCTGCAGAGGATGGCGATCTTTGTGTCTCTGCTGTACACACCGGCGTGGCTGAAATCACCAGTAGCCGAGGATGCGCCTGTGAATGACCTGCAACTGCATCACGAACTCCTCCGCTACAGGGCCGTGGACTGTGAGGTGGCTGATGCGGCGCTGGCGGTCGCGAGCCGCCACCTGTGGTATCTAAGGCCACAGACCGTCGTTCTGTCGCTGTGCAGCGAGAAGTTGAGTGCGGCAGAGAAAAAGGAGATGGCGACCAAATTGAGCTGCCTAGAAGAAACGAACGACTACGCCAACGACAACTTGGTCATCCAACAGACTACACGGCTTTCCGACCTGATAGATGAACGTTCATGGATGATCTTCAAGGAGCATCATGTGTGCGGCACAGCATGGCTGATATCACCGGTGGAAGACTGGGAGAAAAACGAAGAGTTCATGAAGCTGAAAGATTTCTCCAGAAGCCTGAAGGTAACCAATGACGTGGCCGAAAGGGGAATAAAGCTTATGCAGGACTTCATTGATACAGTCACGAAGGATGAGCAGCAGCTGCAGGATGTCATGCAACTTGTGGAAAAGCACAGGAAGCAGATGAGTGGCTTCAGCAAGTCTGCTCTGATGCAACTGTGAGAGTTGAATAGAGGGGGGATTGAACTTTCAAATTGCATCTCCTCCTAGAGTTATTGACCTATTTCAATGATGTTTGTTTTTTTAAGAGGGAAATATATCATGGAAAAGACTGTGACGGCAAAATATTGATATGTGTTTTCGAATAAATGGAAAAGTCAAAACTATGAATATTTTGGAATCTGGTTCCCTTAACGCAGGTAAAGCCTTTGACCTGAACTAGAAGGTCAACTAAGAGGTGCATGCAATCGAATTAGGTGTCAATGGAAAGCTGAATAGCTGCTCTAGCCAGCCATTAGGGTTAAGTAGTGAAAAGCAGCGCAATTGCTGATCTATAAGAGAAAAAGCTTGAGTTTTGACGTTTTTTCGCAAAAATTCATTTTTTATATTTGGATTCGCGACCCCTAGAACATGTTGGATTTCATTAATTCTGGCACCAATGAATTTAGGACTAACGAAATAATGGGAAAAAACACCCCCACCCACAATTTTCTAAAATTGGGAAAAATGAGCAACCCTACTGTACATTGTTTATTTGTTATTCTCGCTCCATAATTTAAAATTTATGTAACATAATGTGGAAGAAATATGATGTTCATTTATACTTACACTCAATTTTGTGGGCAGACATCAGCTTTTCAATTGTGTCTGGCAGTGCTGCAGCCAGTGTTACCAAACAACATGACTGACACCACATCTCACCAATTACCAAAAATCTCCCCCTCCACCACCAGCTCCATGATCACCACTACCTCTATTATCACCTAACTTATAATTCCAGTGATGCAGAGATGGATTTGCTTTAGCTAGAGCAGATCAGCACGACATCCACTGCCCACCCACTGCATCTCACCTACACTCTGCCTTTCTCTCTCATTCTACTGTGACTGTCATTCACGATACAATTTTGTACAACAACAAACACTGTATTCTAAACCAGTAAATAAAAGCCAAGTGAAAGTTTAACACAGTTGCCATTTGCATACACTCCCTGCTTAATCATAGTAACAAAGACCAACTGGGAGGTACCTCCTCCGTCTCCCAAACTCCCCCTACACTCTGAACTCTCCTACCCTCCCTCACTGAGCCAGCTAACACCTTACAACTTGGCCCATTAGCCTGGTGGTTACAGTGATTAGTCTGACCAAGCTACAATGCCATGATTAATTACTATTAAACATTATACTATCAGTAAACACTAATAATAACAGTAAATCCAGTGAAATATGGCAGGGAGTGAGTTACAACTGCAGACAACACTTAACTAGGGGTCATTCACTCCCCTTACCTGCTCCTGTTGCCAAGTGTACGTATGGGAGAAATACATACTGTATCTTGTAAGTAGTCTAATTTGAAAATGGCAACAGGCTCACTGATAAACAAATTATGTAAACCATGCAGTTTCCTACAATAACATAATAAACATTGTATCATTACTAGAGTGAATGAATTAATATTCCCACAAACAACAATTAACAACTCTGTTTATGTACCTTTAGGTTTTATTGCTTTTATCTTCAGTATTTTGATGTTACAATTATTTTTGTCACAGCTTAGTACAGGAACACATCCCCCCTTATTACATTAATTTATATGGGAAAAATGGTTGAGATATATATTAGGGTTTTTTGAGAGACCGTACATTGTACTTATCATTGGTGTTTTTTGTTTTTGTTTTTGTTATAGTGAGACGACAGCACAAACATTTATATTGAACTGTGTTTTGGTGACTGTGAAGTGATATTTTCTGTTTTGGGGGGGACTGTAAAGTGCTTTGCCTCTGTTTTTGTGAACATGTGATCTGTGTAGGTGGAGTCTCCACTCCACCTACCAAGAAACCCTTAGCCTTGAAGGGAGCTTGTGATGATGACACGGCTTGTTCTTCATGATGTGGTGAGTGTTGTTTGTGTTGTTTTCTATTGATTTTATGAGTATAGGATTTTTTTCGGTGTTATATGTGTGTTTGGGGACTGGCTTGTAACATATCCCATTGAAGGATTTATTGGGGGATCCTAAGAGTGAGTTTCAACTAACCTGAAAAACTTTATCCGGCACCTCTCAATTCCCATAGGTGCCTGATAACTGGGATTTTACTGTAGACTCATTTCCATGGTCAGTATATCTGTGGCTTCTACCGTATACAGTTACTGGGTATTTATTGAAACAAAAAAAAAGCAGCTGATGTAAGTGAATTCATCTTAAAGCCCTGTGACACAATGCTGTCTGATTCTTACTCAGCATCTAGTGAGCAAGTTTAGTTTGACTGTATCCCCTCAGACATATACATTACAGTATGGTCATGGTAGTATTGTTTACATTAATTTATAATTTACCTTTTATCAAATCCATATTTGATTGTCTTTCCGAATTCTTCCCTTAGTTTGTATTAAACTTAATCATCACACTCTCGGTATTCCCAACTTCTCTTGAGTTTTTTATTTTCCACTTATGTTGTATTTATTTTGATAATTTTTGTTCTTTTCTTCTATTTTAGTTACACCAAAGAACATTTACTTGTACAACTGCTGACCCACAAAGGACATATTTCAGTTAATATTATATTCAGATTAATATAGCTTGGTTACTCACACAGAACCAGTTTGTAGTGTGTTGCAGGTAATTACATAACAGTATGTGTGTGTGTGTGGAGAGAGTTTTTAGATTTCATGTAGTTGTATTTCTTACTAAGAGATGATGCTTTACTAGCATGCTGCAATACATGCTGCAATACATCATGTTCACATCCATCTATCACAATAAATATGTTCTCTTCAACTTCAGCTCACATATCATCATCATGTTTAAACTGTCAATTATAGGTAGTATTTTTGTTGATAGAACTGACATCATGAGTACCATACTGTACTTGATGATTCGTGACACAAATATATTGGTGACTTTCAGACACTTCCACACTAATCTGTCTGTTCCTCAACTTAAATTCATTAACAAAAAAAAATCATCTAAGGTGAATATGATTTTACTTTAAAGACAACTCAAGATGAGTAATTATACATCTGATCAGGAGTTTTATTAAACCATTTATATGAAAAAACTTTAAGTTCATTATAATCAAGATTTTATAGAATGCATCAATAGCTTGCAGTCATAAATATAGTAAATGTATCTTATTAAGTTTTGTTTGGTTTAATGCTCACCCTTATACATGTGGATTGTCCCTAAATGTTTAGAATGTCACTTCTCAATTATTCTCTTTTTAGGTCTCCACTACATAAGAAATCTGATCAACAGTGGTGTACAGTACAGTATTTTGAATACAGGTATTTGCTTAGTTCCACATAAACTCTCATAAGTCAGTTATGTGTTGTATGAGTATTTCATACTGCTAGACTGCAGGTAATGGCTTCTCTGGGTGTCTCAAAAATGCTAAGCTATTGTTCTGAACGACAGGGAGACTCTCTGTAATCTTTTCTGTAATTAAGACCTGATATACCGGACTGTATATTGTTTATTTATGAACACAATGTACTGTGTACATTTGTACTGGTCTCTATAATCTCTTGTGATTCATATTAAAGCTGCATCACATTCAAACTTACCTCGCTAGTGGATAGTGTCACAGAAAACGGTAAACTTTTGGAAGGGGTAATTCGCATGCTGTATGTTGTTTTACACGAATTGTACCAATGTACAGGAATATAATATTAAGTGTGTGTACTGATAGTATTAGGGGAGAACTCAAGGTATCTATATGATGATTGGGAAGGTCCACTTGATACAGACTAGTGTACTATAGTGAATAAGTGTAACTGTGTGTATACTGTATCTGAAGGTCATGGTATTTATGTCTATGTACCATTAGTAAACATAGCTACCTCGGGTGTTAGATGAAAATATGTGAGAACAATGATCTGGAAAAAGGATAAATGTATCAGACATACATGAAGTGTTGGGATTGACCCATAAACTATACTCCAAGGAAAATATCTTATGTACCTCGGTGTGAGCTTAATACACATCCATTACCCCATGTCACGAATACTGTAACCACGAATAGTGCAATGATTCGAGAATCTTAAGAAAGTGTGCGGGAATGACCCATACATAGGGAATAAAGTGAAGTAGAAATACCCAAGCCAAGAACCTAGGCCTTTGTTCACAATGGCGCCTGAACCGCCCGCGACTACAGTTTTGAATTAATGAGATAGCCAAAGTAATTTCCCCAGAAACTGACAAACCAGACACTTACTGTAGTATGTAATTTAGAAATAAGGTATGTAATTATAAGGCATAAAGTCACAATATACTGGGTATAGGAAAGTGTTTGTGTGGGGGCCAGAAGAAAGTGAAAATTTAAGCATTGGCAGCCTTAGGCCTATTCAGTGTGACGCCAAGTATTGCCCTCAGTCAGGCGTCGTCTCTTACACACACACACAAGTCAGTGCACTCCAGCTGGTACTACACCAGAGTACTTAAAGAGGCTTATCTAGCATTTTATATTCTGTACATCTTAAAGCCTTGCCTAGTGTTATTATTATAATAAATGAATTAATAGATTTTGTAATGATGTTAGGTAATACAAAAGCCCATCAGGCATTATTCTCAGTCAGGCATCATCTCTTACACACACAGGTGTACCCGCCTATGAGCGGAGGGAGACCAGTGCTGGTCGGAGGAAATGCTTGGCCCAGCAACCACTGTTCTACTGTGAGGAACCCACGTGTTGTTGTGGGCAACGCTGATGGCCACTATGCAACCTCCCCTATGAACCCTGGACATCCCACATATCAACACCCAGGATAGGAGAAAATGATCGTGTCATTTGAGGAGTTTCGCGGTCGTGGCTAAGCAACCTCATGATACCGGACTCAGAAACAGTCCTGGTATGAATGCCTGGGAAGGATCTAATCTACCACACAGGAATAGTGTGTGAAATGGGTACCTGTCATGTGTACCTTGGTGCTATAAAAGGAGCTCAGTACCTGCATGTGTGGAGTGTATTTGGTGCTATATATAATATGTTGGTGCTAGTGAGTATTTTTGGGTGATATCGTAGGAAAGACTGACCTAGGTAAGGAGGTCAATGATTTGGTATGATGAGAGAACACCTTAATTAATTATATAGAGAAGGTCGGGTATTTTGTGTGTGGTGTAGTGACCTTGATAATTGCTTGTGAAAGGTCATATATTTTTGTATTGTGACTGAATGCAATATATTTTTATTAGTAAATAAATTAGTTAAGTCTTGTTCAGTGTTTCACCCTTCCTTCCACTCTCGATTTGATTAATGAAAAACACGAACTCACAGTGCCTAGCTTGCTCTGCCAGCTACCTACCTAAACAAAACCAAACATACTGTCCATGTGGTCTGGTGGCAGCGACCTTAGGTTAAATAATAAGTTATGTACCCCCTTAGGATTAGTGACCACATTAATGGGCAGTATAACAAAGTTAGTTTTAAGTGATAAAATTGTCGAAAATTTTCTTCAAACTAGAAGTATACTACTCAAAACTTGTCACATATTAAACTTGAAGTACAGTGATCTCTTAATTGATATGGCTCAACAATGTGTATGACATATCCCCACTTAGTGCCTGAGGTTTATGCTTGTCATATTTTAGAATTATTATATGTCTACAGATAAAACAAAAATGATGCAGACTCACATTGCCTGAAGCTGACCCAAATCACCATAAAAGAGGTTACAAGAGCAGCACACATTGGCTGAACAATAATAGTTATGTCCTTAGAATTCATGTGTAGACTGTCTGAACCATTAACACAGTGATTACTCAGGGTAACTGTAACTCCCTATGCAAGGGACTGTAACTATACCTCCCTATGCAAGGGACTGTAACTATACCTCCCTAGTCAAAGGAGGGTAACTGCAGTATAACTCCCTGAGGCTGGGTAAGGTAGGTTAACTATAACTCCCTAGTTGAGGGAAAGTAGCTGCACTACTGTATACAGTAATTCCCATGGTAAGGGAGGTTAACTATAACTCCCTAGTTGAATGAGAGTAACTGTATACAGTAATTCCAATTGTAAGGGAGGGTAACTATAACTCCTCGGACAAGGAAGGTAATGGCAAGGGAGGGTAACTGTCATTCCTTAGTAAGGTGAGAGCAACTATAATTCCCAGGTGAGGGAGGGTAACGATAACCAGGTTCTTTTATTATGATTCCCATAAAGGTAACAAAAATATGTGATCCACATTACAGACATGGTTACTATATTCATTACTTAGTAAAACTATAATTCTGCTTTGTTGTATGACTACAGTCAAATTTTGTATAAGTACAATCCTAACTTTGTATGATACCCCAACTTAAATTTACTGTACACGATAGCCAAAGGCATCACCAGTTATTATGACTATAACTCAAAGACTCAGTACCACTGTATCTCTGGGGATTGACTAGCTAGGATAAGGACACTTCAGATCCTTCTATACACACCTATGGGAGGTGAACACAGGAACTTGTAACATCTAGCTATATCTTGAACCATTTGTACTGGGATGCTCTGTATAGCCTCAGTTTCCAGGCAAGGTTGACTGATCTACTGCTGTGGCAGCAAACAGAAAATTTTTACTTGAGGCCAAACCCTTACCAAAAAACTGTCTTACTGTTATAAATTACGTGTATAGCTCCTTGGTTCTTCTCCCTTTAAGGCAAAATAGGATATAACTTGATTAAATAAAATTAATGTTCTATAAATTTTTCAAGAACTCAGTACTAGCATCCTCATTCTTATGAATAATCTCAAATAAAGCACCGAGTGTTGAGAACCACACAGTACACTTCTCTTTTGTCTCAAACAAATGGGATAAACTCTTGTGGAAGCTGCGAAAAGACATCTATGGGTATGTCGTATCTTTTGTCTCCCACTGGTAGGTAAGTGAGGGGAGGTACTGGGGGTAATTTGTCAACAAAAAAGGTGGCTGACTGGGCAGTGTCATTCTCCTGGTCAGTCCGGGAGGTGCCACGACCTGACGAAGACACAGGAAGTGATGTACTTGGTACACTACTCTGGGATATAGTTGTTGTATTTGTTATTGTTGTTGATGGTATTTGTGTTGTGGTTTCACTTTTTACTGTGGAAAATGTAGTTTGAGAATTATTTTGTCTTTTTTCTGTAAGATTTTCCCTAGAATTTTCGGATAATACTTGTGAAAATGCATTGAAACTAATGTTGTAAGTTGGCTGTTGCAAGATGGTTACAGTTGAACTATTTACATTATCACTTGCTAGACTTGTTGAAGTATTGTCAGTAAGAGATAATACCATGAGAGGTGTTGAGGTAAACCCTTCAGGCTGTCCAGTGGTTTCTGGAACAGCAATTTGCATGACAGTTTGTCTTAGGCCTTGCTGCAGATCTTGATAATCATCTTCTAGAGTAGGCTGTGGTAATTCTGTTTGCAAATCTATACCTTGCAAAGTTTCATTAAAGAGCTCTAAGGTAATATTAAGATCAGGATTATTCAGTACCGGTGTCACCGACTCCTGGAGTACATCTTCAAGTGTGCTTTGCAGAATGGTATTTAAAATTTCATCTTGTAAGACCTCAGGTGGTTGAATTTGTGACAGGTCCTGTATTGCAGGGCCTTGCAAGAATTCGGATGATGGAAAAGGCATGAGATTATCTGGAGACACTCCCAGTAATGACTCTTCAGTTAGGTCCGGTGCCATTTGATCTCGCTGGTTCCTTGCAGGCTGGAGTGGCTTGGGGAGTGGCCCTATGATGAGGACTGGCCTCTGGGGTGGGAAAAAGAGAGAAGGTCCGACAGGTTCACTGGAAGTCTGCTGGGGTCTCTCTCTCAATTTGGGTAGATCCTGGAGTTGTGTAGGGTGCTGTGGCAGAGGTCCAACTAGTAGTGGGGAGTGAGGGGACCAACTCACTAGGTGGTAGATCTCCATATTTGCCCTGTTGAGAGTTTACATTATTAATATCTTATAATATATATATATATATATATATATATATATATATATATATATATATATATATATATATATATATATATATATATATATATATATATATATATATATATATATATATATATATATATACTGTATATATATATATATATATATATAATTTTTTTTTCCAAGTCAGAATGCGACGCACAGCATGTTACCTTGGTATGTTAATTCCTAGCTAACTCGCCAGGCCAACATACAGGCAATTCAAACATCTAATAATTGCTTAATATTTAATATTAGGAGGACACGTCGCTACCTGGCATTTAATTGCAATTATCAAAACCCCCTCCTTCACCCCCCATCATACGTATCACGACCTTCATCTTCTTGCCTGGCGATTCAGCTGTAAATACACACAAAAGAAGGCTCTGCGAATTTGTGCTGTAATTGCTGAAATACTAAGTCCCACGAGGATTTTATATACGGTATTTATACTTATTAGCACAGTGAGGAAGTAGAGTAACTTTTATTTGGTTTATGTCTCTCAATTATTGTACTTGGGACAATTTGTTATACGATCTTTGGTCAGTCTCATGGCGTCCACTTCACGTCTTCTGTATGAATTCGTGTAGATCGTTTTTTACTATTCCTTGCCTTTTAGCCACTCGGTGAATGTCGCTGCGCCCTCCCGGGCTCGTCTTCACTGAAAGAAAATATGTGATATATATTTATATATCTATTTATATATATACACATATATGTACAGTATACTGTTTACGGTTTTCTTTGTCCTGTAGTGGACGTCTACCCTACAAACTGCGTATCGCATTCCAATGTGCCGCCTTCCCTAGCAACCAACCAGATGTTACCGTATCTTAGCAACGGAACCAGTCACCGGCGACTTTCTGGGTTTTCCCAACATGACTCATAGCGGCTGCTGCTGGGTATATAAGCTCTGTCTCTCCATTGAGATTCATTCTGACCATTCTTCTACAACAAGCAACACCTCCTCCTCCACCGCTGCCTGGCTGCCTTCGATTCTCCTCGCCTGCCTGGTGGTCGCTCCCGCCAGCGAGCATGGCGACCCACCAGCTGTCCTCTGAGCTTCCTCACCAACCAACTCTCATTCTGCCCAACTTTCTGAACAAGCAACACCTCCAGCACCAGACTGTCTATCATATAACTTATATTATATAAGAAAACCACATTACAGTTTCCTTCCATCCTGAGTGCTAGACAACATTAATATCTCGATACCCCTACAGTCCCAATTATTCACGTGCTAGTATGAATGCCATGTGGCTATCTCTCTTCCTACTCTTACGTTCGTTCACAAAAAACCTTTGGGCTTCCGCCCTCGGTTTTCTAATTGCTCTCAGCATAAAGGCCAGAGTTGAGTTTTCTCTTCATAACTTTATTTTATTGATGTCCTCAGTAGCAAGTTCAGCCTTTACAGGCGAACTTTAGCGAGGCTGCTAGACTTAGCATTCCTTCCGTAATGTTGACCTTCCGGTCTTCCTAGCAATCTACAGTTATGTTGAAATGGACTTTACATCTGTATATGGGTTATATGAGAACAATTAAGGGTGGAATTCTCAACCCAATAAATATTGCTAGAGTAAAAGTGAACGCTGTTGCAAATAGAGCGCTATGTTAGCGACTCAGCACTGTCAACCCTGCCGGGAGATAGTATGCACGAATAAATTTTTGCTTAAGTTATTACTTGGGGGACAATGTCTGTGCCCCTGATTGGCAACAAATAGAGATCTTAATGATCCCTCTAAATAAAATGTTCTAAATGAAATTATTTTATGTAAAAAAAAAAAAATTTCATTGAGCTAAGGGATACTTAGAGATAAGAGTGGGGAGAGAGATATTACATAGCGAGTTAATTGTTTATAATTGTCAAACGAGTGACTTATATAACAATAAGAGATCTTAATGAATTAACTTACTAATAATATAACAATTATGAGTCATATTGATTAAGTTTGGTAGAAAATGTTTTCTCCCTTATATTTTTATAATGATATAATGTGACTCATGGTGTCCTCCTAGTTTAGATGAGTGATGTGCAACTGGAGGATGAAGGAGAGGAGTCTGGGCCTATGTATGATGGAGGAGACTATGGAACTGTCCCTGAGGAGATAGTATTGAGTGATGAGCTACAAGGACTAGAAAGTTCAGCTCAGGCACTACATACAAGGAATTGTCTGTCAGTAGAGAATTTGAATTCAGTAGTAGTAGTTTCACCCAAGACCCAAGGGGGCTATACTACATGTAATTATAAAAATGTAGAGCCACTTGGATTACTAAGATAGATCGTCATGTGGCTTGCATAATTCATGACAGCTGTGTCTCAAATAACCTATTTTCACCAATGGATCATGCAGTTTGTTATGATCAAATTTTTCAATTTCATCAAGCTACAGGTGATAAGAAAGATTTATTGCAAATACAAATTAAAAAGTAGGTGGAATAAGGCCTTGAAGAGTAAATTTTTGAATGTACAACAATGGAAAGATCCCAAGTTGGCAGAAAGCTTAGGATTATTGGTGTTAGGTAAAAGACTTCATCCCCACTTAGACAAGCCTGCTTCTACTAAGAACAATAAGTTATTGGACCCTCCAAACATTGGGGCAAGCCTGCTTCTGCTAAGAAAAATAAGTTATTGGACCCTCCAAACAATGGGGCAGTGGGAAGTCGACAAAAACCTCTATCTACTCAGTCTGATTTCAGTGGATTCCAGGATCAGGACGATGAGGCTGGTTCTAATCATAGTATTCAGTCTCTTGAGCAGGAAGAACCTGTTGAGACTGACTTCATCCTATCCACATCTTGGCAACCACTTCCACCTGGGGCAAAAGTGTTGGTTACTATGAGTGGAAACAGGCTGCTGTCGACTGCCATGCAGCTGCTGGATAACATTGAGTGTAAGGATGATCCCAACAGGCCATGGATAACATTGGTAAGATCTAAGTCTTCTTTGTTTTCTACTACATCTGAATCTGTGGATTCCTTATTCAAAATATTTTATGAAAATGTCTCCAAGCTTCCTGATATCTCAGCAACTACAAAGAGACAGGAAGGACAAGCAACTTTGGGTCATCATTCTTTGTTTTTGGAAGGTGATACTACACTTTCTTGGCCTGATATTTGCCTAAAGATGATTAGCCCAAACGAAGTCTGGGCGGGCTAATTTATTGAAAGACTTAACATTCATTCCCGCATACAGGAATGCTCACAAGTTTAGTTTTTTGAAGTTCCAATTTAATGATGAAAAGAGTTCCTTCTATGAACTTTCCCAGTATTTGTCGGCTCCAAAATATGTTGATTTAAGTTATGAAAAAAAAATTGAAATCAGTTGCTCCTGCACTGCTGCTTGAAGAATTTAAAATTAGGAAATTGGCAGCAGACGTTTGGTCTGCACTTATGATGTGTCAGTTATTAACTAAGTTTGTGCTGGACTATGAAGAAAATTCAGAAGTGGACAAATGTTTCGCTGCTGCTTTACAAGGAATCCCATATTCCCTGTAAAACTCATTTTTAGATAATTTGTTGAAAGCCCTAAAACTGAAAGCCCAGCTAAGGAAACAAGCAACAAATAATGCTTCAAGTGGTAGCGCTTATTTGTTGCTACGTTCTTCTCCTCTTTCTCCTGCTTTGTTTGATGAACAATCATTGGTTAAATATAGATCATCTTTTGAGAATACTATTAATATTAATGTTCCCAGGAGTCCTCAGACCTTTCGGAAACCTAGGAAACGAAGGTTTTACAGGGGAACAGGACCAGCTGCTCGGTTCAGTTATCAACCTAGAGGAAACTTTAGAGGAGGAAATAATGAAAGACGTAATAGGGGTGGCCGTTTGTTCAGAAGCAGAAGGAGACCTTATTCCACCACACCAGCAACTACTCCCTTCCAATGAAGCCAGACATAGAACTGTTACAGTCTGAGAAATGTTTCATGTCTCGCCTATTCCCAGTCCCCAAGAAAGGCAGCGACAAATTAAGGTGAATTTTCGATCTTTCAGTCCTAAACAAATTTATTTCCAAAAGAAGTTTCAAGATGCTCACTTACGACCATCTGAGGCATCTACTTCCACCCAATGCGTGGATCTCGAAAGTGGATCTCGAAGATGCCTATTATCACGTTCCTGTTGCTCCCAGGTACAGAAAATTTCTGGTGTTCAAAGTAGGGGATGCCATTCGGCCTGACAATTGCACCAAAAGTCTTTACAAAACTGGCGAACATTCCCAGAAAGATCCTTGCGAAGGAGTCCATAAGAACCTATGCTTATCTAGACGATTGGCTGATAATGGGAAACTTTTTCGAAGGTTGTCAAAGGCCGACCCAACGTACACTAGTACTATTTCAAAACCTTGGTTTAAAGATAAACCAGGTCAATTCAAATTTAATACCATGTCAAAAGTTGGATTGGTTAGGTCTCCAGTGGGATACAAATCAGCAGTTTACCAGGAACAAAAGTAACAGATTTGATAAACCAAGTAGAAGCCTTTTGTGTAAAGCACAAGGTTTCTTGGCACGATTGGGAAAAACTTCTGGGTCTGTTGAATTTTGCCACAAAAGTGGTTCCATTGGGAAATTTAAGGAAAAAGCAACTATCTCATCTGGGTTCGAAGTTGCTTCACAGAAACAGAAATGTTGCTTCTTCTCTCCCTATGCAGATAAAGAATCATCTGTTATGGTGGACAAAGTTGGACAATCTAATCCGTCCCTCTCCCTGGGTTCCGCCTCAAACAGGTTTGGTCGTTTGTACGGATGCGTCCAAAATAGGATGGGGATACCATTCTTCAAAAGGGGAATTCAGTCAAGGGAAGTGGAGCAACTTCCTTTGGTACAAACACATAAATATAAAAGAATTAGCAGTGGTCCTATTCTTTTTGTCGGCAAACCCAAATTAACAAAATATGACGATCCTGTTTGCCATGGACAACAAAACGGCAGTGTTTTGTCTCAATCATCAAGGGTCAACAAG